CAATCCTTCATAAAGACACAGATGTCTGACATAGGCTGCCCCATCCATGCACAAGCAATGCTTGACAGAGCCGTGGGGCAGAGGGATCATCTATGCATCCGCCCACCCATTCCACAGATGGAACAACCTGCAGCTCGGAGAAGTTTCAGAACCAAGTCTCACACTTAACTCTTCTGATTTAGGATTCAGTGCTCCTCCGTCAGACCCATAGGCCCCACCACCCTCAGTGATGACTAGTGGCCCTGGCCATGGGACGGGGGGCAGGCAGTGTGGTTAGTACTCGGCCTGCACGTGGGCCCCGGACTAACTCACCAGAGGGTCAGCCTGAAGCCCTGTTGAGGGCAAACGCCTGAGTTAGACACTGGGGGCAGACGTGTGGTGGGGAGAGCTGGAGATTGAGATTTAGGGGATCTCATGGAAATCAGCACCCGTACGGCAGGTGAAAATGGGACTAGATACCAGTCCAAGCAATGTGCTGTGGAAACATAGCAGTTAACTGATGAGAGATGGGATCCGGGAGGGCTTCAGGGAGGAAGTGGCCAGCGCCCTGGGTTGAAGCACCAAAGATGGCACTCAGGGGCAAGGCATTCTAGGTGGAGGGAGCAGCATGGACAGGAGCAGGGAGGCCAGACGACCTGGGGTGGGCATGGAGAACGGCACAGCTAGCAGCGAAGGAACCTTCCGCAAGCAGAGACCTGGATTCAAGTTCTGACTCTGCCTCCGTTCTGACTCAGGATTTGGGCAACTCACCACCTTTGTGGATCTTAGTATTCTTTTAAGTGAAATGGGCATAAGGACATTACATGTTTCCTGGGGTTATTGTAAGGATAAACCAAAATAGTCACCGAAAACAAGGCCTGGTGCATGGTAGGTGCTCAGCGAAAGGTCCAGTATGGCTGGAACTTAGGTACTGTTGGACCACGGGGACCAGCAGAGGCTTGGGTGAGGCTGTGCGTTTTCTTTTGCCTTCCAGTGGGCTCTTTCTCCTCCTTGCAGGACCTCACCAGCTGGCCTGGGAAGGCTGCTTGCCCATTCGTGGTTGCCAGGATGCTGGCCATTCCCCGGTCCAGAACGATCCTCTGGTGCTGTCATCATCCTTGAGCCCTTTCCAGCCTGAACACACCTGGCACGAGTGTGCCAGGTCTGGTAAGGTTCACTGGCAGCGTTTGGGAGCCAGATCTGTATTTAGGTAGAAGCAGACACCGAAAACAGTTGCTGGCTTCTCTGCCTTGGTAAACACGCAGCGAGCCTGGTGCTTTGGGCTTTGGGAGGGAGCAGGGAACACAAGGTAGGCGCTGCTCACTGCAGCTTGGGGGCTGAGGGCAGGCTTTTCGTTCCAGGCATGTGACAGCCTCCTCAGGCTGCGGGCATGAGGGATGGACAGAGTTAGAGGCCCTCCTCTTCCTCTGGGCTTCTCGGTCTTTGAGGACTCTAGGTACTTTTGCCATGTAGTGTCTGTGGGACTTTGGGTCAAGTTTTCAACCTCTCTGGCCAGCGGTCAACAAAGGCAATTCCTGGCATGTCCCTGGATGCCATTCCTCCTTCGTGAGTGCTTGACAAAGTTACCCATGCATCAGAGTCACTTGGGTGGGGGCTAATTTAAAATTCAGACTCCCAGGCCCGGCCCCAGACTCACTGAGGCAGAGCCCAGGAATCTGCACTTTAACAAACGGCCCAGGTGATTCTGGTACGGGTATCCCAGGAACTACATCTAGAAAACCACTATCTGCTTTCCAGTGGGTTCCCTGGGAAACCAGAGAAAGAGGTGGTCAGAAGGAGGAGGTTGATGGATGAGGCCAGCAAGCTTCTCCTCTTCACATGCACATCTGCATTTATGCTTTTAGACTTTGGCTTGGAAATATGTTCTTAGATGTAGGTCTCCTTAGATGCCATCCCTGTTCAATGACATTGAATGCCATCCCTGTTCTACGCCATCCCCTAGAGTTAGCTCATTTGCCATCCATCCACCCATCATCCGTCCATCCATCATCCATCCACTTACCCATCCATCCATCCGTCCACCTACCCATCCATCTATCCATCCATCTACTCATCATTCATCCACTCATCTATTCACCATCCACTCATCCATCCATCTGTCCGCCCTCATTTTCTATGTACCTCCTGTGGCTGGTCTTTGGAGACACAAGGAAGAATGAGGGCTGGTTTTCCTGGCCAGAATTCCCCATCTGGACAAGGAGACAGTCAAGTCATCGTAATATAGGAGGATTCAGTGATTGATGTTTCGAGTAGATACAGTGATGGCACAAGGTAAAAATGATAGACTGTACTGGCATGCAGGGAAAGTCAAAGAAGTCCTCATAAGACAGCACTTTGTGAGTGGGTCATGAAGGGGGAGTAGGAGTTTGCCTGATGGAGAGGGTGAGTGTGAGGGTGTATAGGAAGGTAGGTGAGTCCTGTGATGAAATCCCTTCCCATCCACTGTGAGAAGTCTCTCCTCAGTCCCCACGGAGCCCATTTGTGATGCTGATCTGCAGCTGTAACCTCTAAACTGAGCCCCATATCCTGGCATTTCTGGGTGAACAGGAGCCACTCTCTAGTGTGGGTGTTGCAGGCTCATGATGGTTGTCTCTTACACAGTAAAGTTATTATGGAACGGACAGGTGGACAGCCATCCAGATCGAGAGACACGGGATACTTCAAGAGCCTGGGGTCAGGTACTAGTTCTGCCTGCAAGTCGCTCTGTAACTGTGGACAGGTCTCCGACCCTCCGTGTTCCCATCCCCAAGATGGAAGATTGGCTTCTAGCTCCGCCAGCTTCCTGTCTGGAGCACGGCCCTGGCTGCCATACACGTGTTACAACGACTTTTCTCTCCACCCAAGCCCATCTGTTGGAGCACATGAGCAGCACAACATCTCAGAGGTTCCGTGGATTTGCTTTGAGCCTCCAGCATACCACCTGCAGCCCAAAGCGGCGTTTTGCAGGGAAAAAGCAAGGTGGACGCGAGCCTGAAGGTGGCGCTGTGGCTCCAGTCGTGGCTCTGTTCTCCAGAGCAGGACGGTTCTCCGAGGATCCGCGGAAACCGGGCAGGGCTGATGGCAGGTTTTGCTCCATCTTGGGGCCCTCACAGTTCAGCAAGCCCTGCTTATTTGCAGAAAGCAGCCAGGCCTTACCACTAGGGCCTCCCCGCCTCCCGGACCCCTTCACACATCTTCAGAACTGTGTCCCTTTGGGTCTTCCCTGGGCGAGAGGAGGAGGAAGCCAGCCTGTTGTGAGTGGCACGTAGGTGGAGCAGGGCTCTGTGCCTGGGTTTCCCAGGAGCCTGGTTTTCTGGTGCTCATTGCAGGCAGAGGGCCCTTGGCCTGGAGCTGCCAGATGAGTCTGGGCCATGATGTGCCACGATGATGTGTTGGGTCACAGCCTGCTTGACCCCCCCACCGTGGACCCCATACTCGGGTGATTCACTTGATATTTTGAAAATACTCCATACTCATCCTGCTGCCTTCTCTCCATTTCTTTGGGTTCGGTCCTTAGCTGAGCCATCTAAGAACCCCGGGGGAGAGAATGATAGGAGGCAAGAAGAAGGAAAGAGGAAAGTGCTGACATTTATTAAGTGCCTACTGGGTACCAAGCATTTCCACAAGAACTAGAACAGGAATTTGCACCCTTTCTTTCCACGGCATACCCCGTTCCTTTCCCCAGAATCACAGAGGAACTCAGCCATGGAAACCAAACGCCTGGGCAGCTGCTGTGAGGGGGTTGGGGTGGGGCGCTGGGGCACCTGAGTCTTCCCGTTCCGCCCCCTTCCCTCCCCCCCCACCCAGCAGCCCCTTTGCGGCCATCACAAAACCTGGATCGAAAGCACTGTTTCATCTGTATATACCTCTTAGAGGAAATATTATTTCCACTTTTCGGATGTAAAAGCTGAAGGCCAGTGAGGTGAGGTGACTTGCCAGGATCACATGATTAAGAAATGGCTGAGAGCCAGGCTGCGGACGCAGGAGTGTCCGACCCCAAAGCCCCCAACTCCATCTGGGAGACCATGGTGCTCTGCTTCCTAAGGAGGGGCAGGAAGGGGCCGGGGCTCCTGGGAGGGCCAGGCCAGTTACACGTGAACACAGTTGGTACTTGGATGTCTGGTAAACTGCCTGCAACGAAGGAACCTGGATAGGACAGGAGAACCATGGAAGATGGGAAACACATGGGGTGTAGGTTCAGTGCCACCAGGGAAATGATCCTTCAGCCCCCCGGGCAGGCTCCAGCTTGGCTGACTTCAGAAGACACCAGCCAGCCATGTGCTAGAGATTCAGCGAGCTTTCCAGGCCCTGATTAGGCTTCTTTTTGTTCCAGGGTCTGAGTCTGGAATATCTGAACCAGGTCTCAGTTCCTGCTCTGCTGGTGGAGGAAAAACTGTATAAGAGCAGCTCCTGAAAGGCAAGATGCTTTAAAAAGAAGAAGGAAAAAAAAAAAAAAGGAAGCCATGCATTTGCTTGGAATTTGTTTTTGCTTGCTCAGGATCTTGTAGCAAGAATAGATTGGGAGTCAGAAATCCTTGGGTCCAAAGGTCACATCTACTGGTTCAACCTGACCACTTTGAGTCTCAGTTGCCTCTTTGTAAAATGGCATCACAAACAGGCCCTATGTCACCAGGCTGCTGTAAGGATTAAATGAGCTCTTGTGTGAAGCACCAAGCTTGGGGTGTGCAAAGCAAACAGTGATTCTCTCCCTGCTCTCTTTGAATTTATGGTATGTGCTAAATGGATGTGCTTCCAAGGGGCACTTAAGGGATGGGTTATCACTTCTCATTGCAGTCAACTGGCTGAAACACTCACTTTTTCATCTTGATATGTGAGATGTGACATTCTGATCCTCTGAATTGTAAACTTAGAATCTCAGAGAGCTCAGGATGGCTGAATCCAACTCCATTATTTTAGAGATGGGGACAGTGACTTGCCCAAGGTCACCCACTGGGCTGGTGGCAGAGCTGGGGCAAGAACCCAGGTCTGCTGACTCCCAGCCCACTGCTTTGTCATCCCAGGTGAGAAGGAGCCACGGGAAGGAAAGACCACAGGGATACTGCCTTGATCCAACTTCGCCATGATTCCAACATCTGAGAGGAGGATAGAGTGAAGGTTTCGCCCAAGGAGGCCCACTCTGCTCTGTGAACCCCATCCTGTGGGGGTCACATGTTGGGGGTGGATGGGGCCTCCGTGATAGGACTGAGATCTCAGGAGCTGGGACCAGTCCTGCCATTGCCGAGTCAGAGGAGGAGCCCGGTCCTACTGCAGGCATCAAGGGGTAAGGCGATAGCCCAACTTGGCGTTGATTGCTGCTTCTTACCAGCTGTGTGACCTGAGCAGGGAATTGCGCTCCCTGAACCTGTTACCTTATCTGAGAACCAAGAAGAATCTAAGTGTGTACCTCATAGGTTATGGTAAAGATTAAATAAGTTAATATAATCATAATAATAATGGCCAACATTAACCCACATGTACCATGTGCCAGCTTGGGTTGTAAACTATATGTATTTGCTCATTAATCTTCATACCCCTTGTATTTTGCTGCTGGGAAAACAGAGGCTCAGAATGGTGACGCAGAAGCCGGGGACACAAAATCAGAGAGGACAGTGCCAGGTTTGAACCGAGTAGACTGGCTTTGGTATCCTGTGCCTGACCACTCTGCCCTTGGACCTCTCTATTTAGGCAAAACCTGGTGCTCTAAAAATGCCCAGCCCGCTACCCTTTTCCCTTACCTTCCTCACCTATGCCCTTTTGTCCCAAAGTGTGCATTCCAGAAACTGTGTGCTGTCATTTCTCAGATACCGGAAGTCCACACAAAGAGTTTATAACCCAGCCTGGCACATAGGTTCACATAGATTCACCTTAAATTATTTTTCTTCTCAGTTTTGTTGTTGTCTTTGTTTTTTTATTTTATTTTATTTTATTTTATCTTATCTTATCTTATTTATTTTATTTTATTTTGTTGTTGTTCCTTAATCAAAAGTACAACTGAGGGCGCCTGGATGGCTCAGTTGCTTAAGCAACTGCCTTCAGCTCAGGTCATGGTCCCGGAGTTCCGGGATCGAGTTCCGCATTGGGCTCCCGGCTCAGCGGGGAGCCGGCTTCTCCCTCTGACCCTCTCCCCTCTCAAGCTGTTTCTCTCTCTCTCTCTCTCTCTCTCTCTCTCTCAAATAAATAAATAAATAAAATCTTTAAAAAAAAAAAAGTACAACTGAATTGCCAGCAAGGCGGAGGTCTCGATTCCCGGGCTCACGGGCACCAGGCAGCCCTGCACACACAGTGAAGCCCCCGGTGCCAGTGAACGAAGGACCCCAGTTGCCAGCTTCTCATCATCCGTGTGTGCACGTTAAGCCCCCAGCCCACGGGCCAGCTTCCTGAATACAACTGACCAATTTGGGAGAAAATACGCCGCCTTGTTTCTGGGTTTCTGGCAACATTCATTCAAGTTCCTGGTTACTATAGAGACCTTGTCAACACGTCCAAATATGCTTCTTGGTACAGAAACTTGTCTTCTCACCGGTTTTCACAGAGTCCCAAAGAACAGAGGGTCTCAGGAAGCAGCAGGAAAGGCTCACCCGCTGCATCTTCCTGAGCCCCGACTGGCCCCCCGAGGCTCTGGGCCCACAGAGGGAAAAAGAGGGAGCAGAGAAGGTGACTGAGCAGGACCACGCCGCGCAATGAATCAAGGTGCATCAGCACGATGGAAAATCCGGCCACAGTGTTCAAATGTCCAAACTTATTTCTCCTTCTAGGGGCCTAAAGGAAAGGCTGTCTGCCCTTGGGATGTGGATGCCCTCCTGTTATGGCTGGAAGGGCAAGGTCAGGTTCAGCGGACGCGCTGCTGAGGTCGGGTCTCAGGCCCTGCTTCGGAGCCTCCGGAGCGGTGTCTGCAGTATGTTTCCACGGATGCTTGGCAGAGCCCCCAAGCTGCCTCTTGTCCTCCCCACCTCTGCCCACGGACACCCTGCCCAGGCCTTAGGAGCCCTCTGCAATGCCACCATTTCCAGAGAGACTTAGAACCAAGTCCCCCTCCCTCCCTCGTCCCTCTGGTTATCATCTCATTTCTTACCTGCTTCCACCCGGCATTATGGCTGCTTACACACCGGCCTTCGTTCCAGAGATACTCATCGAGCTCTAATTATGTAGCAGGCCCAGAGCGAGTCACCAGCAATGAGAAAGATACAATCCTTGTTCTCACATAAAGAGCTCACACGCTCACAGTCTAACAGAGACGGACGAGTCAACACGTAATTAAAACACAGTGCGGAGGAATGTACAGACTGCCTGGGTGCTGAGGGGCTAGGGGTCGGGAGGCATCCAGGAAGACTTGCCAGAGGTAGTAATGTTTGGCTTGTATCTTAAAGGGTGAGTTCCCCAGAAGCACATGGGGATGGGGAAGAGGGAGCAGTCTAGGGTGGTGGGACCGCATGGGCACGTCCAGTGACATTTGAAAAAAGTCACCGGATAGACACGCCTACTGAAGGTGTTTGGACTGGATCGCAGTGTGCCACGTCTCCCTGGGGTGTTTGCTTCAAGGAGAAATCCAGGGGAAGGACACAAAGGTGGGATTCGGGGTTGTCGGAGAGATTTGGCAAGAGGCTGTCTCCGGGCCCTGAGAACACGCTTGCTGCGGGTGGCGGCCAAGCCGGCTGGGGCTTCTCCTCCGGTGTCCTTTCCTGTTTGCGCTGAGCCAGCTCTGCAGCCTTCAGTGGTGGACCCTGCACCCAGTCCCACCCACCCCACCCCTACAAACACTCCCATGTTGAGTCCATACCCCCTGCCACCCGACCCCAGACCCCGGAAAGTTCTTTGTCCTTCCTTGTTCATAAAATGGGAGGATTATACTCTCTTTCCCCTCCACCCACTATTCTTCTTCCTTCCTTGGTGGTTAAGAGCAAGGACTTTGGAATCAGGCTGATCTGGGTTGGAATTTCAGTTTTGCCACTTTCCACCTGTACCAGGGACTCCACCAAGTACCTTAATTTCCTCATTGGTAGAGTAGGCTTAGTAGTTGTGCCCACTGCATATTGTTATGGTCCATGTTCAGTGGGATGATGCATGGCAAGCTCCTAACTCAATGCCTGAAATGCAGTAGGTTCTCCAAAGCTGCTCAGGTCGAGGGCATTATGTCATCAAGATTCCCCCCTCCGTCTCTCCCTCCTCCCCTCCCCACTTCCCTTCCTGAGGATCACTCTTGCCTGGGCTGCCAGCTCTTCAGTCCGGAGGCAGAGGGCTGGACAGGATGACCCCTAGCGTCTTTGGTTTGGGAATCTGGGATCTCAAAGGCTGGGAACATCCCCCATGAGCTTTCCTCACCTCGGTTCTCGTACTGATTGCGGAGCTGACCTCTGCGGGTCTCTGCTTCTATGTCATTTTTTTCAAGTTCTCTGGAGGCTCCCTCCCTCTATGCCACCCCCCTCCACTTTTTGCATCCCCTCTGTGTCCAGACAGGTTATGGCATGTGCTCTCAATCAGCTGTCACAGGCTACCCGCTGGCTCCCCAATTACTGAGTTCCTGGCTAGGCTTCGCTCTGCATTTCCCGCCGAGGTTCTGAGGAACTTCATGTACATCTCCCCGCCTGCCAGAGCTCTGAGTTTCTGAAGCCAACTTCAGAGCAGAGGGAAATGGCTTTGGCAGAATGAGCTTTCATATTCTCTGTGCCACCTGCATGCCAGGCAGTTCCTGGTAACCTGGTGCTCGGCTTCGTGCAATTCCTCTGTTGATCGCCTTGGTCCGTCTCCCTGTGTATTAGTCATGGTTCTCCGGAGAAACCGAACCCATAGGGTGTGTGTGTATAAAGAGATTTATTTTAAGGAATTGACTCACACAATTATAGAGGCTGGTAAGTCCAAAATCTATAGGGTGGGCCAGCTTTAGCTGAAATCCAAGGCTTCTGCTGCAGAAGGGGAAGGTTAGTCTTTTGTTCTATTCAGGCTGTCACCCCACTGGATTAGACCTGCCCACATGATGGAGAGCATTCTGCTTTATCGGAAGTCCACAGATTTCACTGTTAATATCCTCCAAAATACCTTCACAGCACATATCTGGGCACCCTGTGGCCCAGCCGAGTGGACACATAAATTAACTGTCATTCCCTGTTTTTGGCAAACATGCTGGAGAAATATCCCAGGCCTTAGGGATGCCTCTCCCCGACCCTGTCATCCAGGCCAGATAATATCAAGACTTGGTTCCCGCTTCCCCAGAGGAGCATGTTGGAAAGGGTCCGCAGAGCATACACATGTCCTGGGTGTATTGCCACAGAAAATCTCAGCCAGTCCAGACCTCTGGGTCTGCAGCAGTTCAGGCCTGGGCCTGGGCCTGAACATGAGGTGCTGAGTGGGAGGCAGCGAGCATCTCTGCAGTGGGGGTGGGAGGATGTGTTCAAGGATGTTGTCGCCCCGTGATTTTCCAACCTGGTTGTATAGCAGAATCATCTAAATGCAGATTCCCAGGCCCGACTATGGGGGAGAAATGCCCCATTCAGAAGAGCAGGGCAGCTCTCGGCACATAGTTGATGCACGGCCACAGGGGATTTCGGAATCCTAGTGAGGCTGGGAGCGTCTTCGAGGCGAGGCACCTGGCCCAGCCCAGCGCTTCATGCTGAATCTCCTTCTTACCATCTCACTCTAATGACTCCTTGATGGAGGCCTGACTCCCTTTGAGGGAACCCCTTATATTCTAAGAAGAGAGACGTGAAGTCTGTCTTCCTGCACCTTCCAGCTACTGGTCCTTGCTTCGGCTCTTAGAACCAGAAGGAATCTAATTGCCCCTCCACTGGAGAGCCCTTGAGGTATTGATGACAGTTTTCATTTGCTGCTGTGTCTTCTCTGGGCTCAGAGTGCCCAGCCCCCTCACCAGGCAATGTCTCTCTCAGTGGGAGAGGAGTGGACTCCGCCCAGACCGTGGTTCGGCCCATGCAAGGCCTGGCAGAGGCATCCCCTCCCTCCTTCTGGACATGCCAGCCCCATTAATGTGGCCTTTGGCCCCGTGTGTTAGCCCCATCGCACCGTGGATGGGATCCTCCTAGTCTGAGCCCCCAGCCTGATGCTTCATTTCCTCCCTCTTGACTTCACTGTTCCACGGAGGAGGAAGAGCTCCTTCCAGGGCCTGGGGACCCCAGAGCTTTCTTTACCATTTTGAAAAACACAGATGACAGGATGTTTCTCCAGGCACCTGAGAAAACACAGGGTTTGCTGCCCTTTGGGACTGGCCACCTTTGAGGCCGCGACCTGCCCCAGACTCTGGTGCCTGTTCTGGGAGAGGGGGTCACAACAGTGTAGTGAAAAGCTTATCGCCTTTGGGCCTGGCGGGGGCTTGGGTTCAAATGCCAGCTCTAGCAGCTGTGGGGCCTGGGGCAACTGAGCCTCAGGTCCTCCATCTGTCAATAGTACCTACCTCCTAGGGCTGTGCTGGGAAATGTCAAAGCAGCCGGCCCAGGGCCTGGTACGTAGTAGGTACACCGTAAGTCTAAATCCTTGTCTCCTCTGGAGGAACTTGGTTGTCTTCTCCCTCATTCTTTCCTCACCAAATGCCTCAGTCCCAGCCCCTAATGCTGAAGAGCCTTGTTAAGTAAACAGCCTGGAGGCTCTAGTCACATCTTGGGGCTTGGGGAGGAATGTGCCCACGGGTGGCTCATGTGCCCTGGGATAAGCCTTTCCTCCGGTCTTGGGTCCCTCATCTCAGACCTGAGAAGTGCAGACCAGGAAGCCACTGGAAAGCCCCTTGACAGCCCTGCCCAGCAGGCCTCCCCGCAAGCCTCTGGGACCCTGGGCCCTGGAAGGGAGGCAGGCAGATGTGAAAAGCCTCTGACAAGCTCCCTAAGACAAGGGTGGGCCCCTCAGCCTGGGTTCCTCCCTCATTCGTCCCTCAGAGCCCACTGGCCCCTCGTCTGCTAGGAGGCACTGGGGACAAGGTGAGAAATAACCGGTCTCAAGATGCCGGCAGACAAGCAGGGAGGACAGACAGGTCAACACATAAGTGGAAGCCAGTTTGATAGGAGCTGTCCCTGAGACGGAAAACAGAAAGTACAGGGGAGCACAGAGTGGGAAACACACCATGCCCCCAGCAAAAGGCTGGGCGGCCGTTCCAGAAAGCTGGTGAGAAACAGGCTTTGGAGTTCAGGCTCCAAGGACAGGGG